AACACACCTCATTTGAAATCAACAGAATTAAAATAAAACACAAAAACATCTTGCTTTGTCTTTCCACTGTTCCAACAATCACCAACTCTGGTTTGATTGAAATAAACTCTTAATTCACAAAGTTAGATGTGAAAATATGCTGCCTCTATACACAATAAAATTACTGTTTATTTAGATGGAGTCTGGTGAGTTTAGTGACGGCAACTTCAGGACTGTTTCTGCTTAAATAAGTTACCCTTCTAATGGATACTCGGACATTTACCAATCTGGGCAACCAGTTTTACTTCCCAATTATGTAATACCACTGTCAAAATGTCAAAACACAAGATATAAACCTGCTCTTCCTATAAATCTTTTAAACTAATGGTAGAGTACACCTAAATCTAACTCATTCAGATTTTCTGAAGCTGTCAAAGGTTTGTTAGCATCTTCTATGTTTAACATTTCTAAACACACCTGTGTTTTAGCTCTGATCAGATGAGGAACACAAGCTGTAGATTTTGTGAATGTTCAGATTTTACCTGCCACTAAATGGATTACCATTGTTTTTATGGGCTGCTGAGTGAAGCAAATCTACTAACTACTTGCATATTTCGACAGCATTTGGTCAGTGAATGGTTCTAGTTTAGTACCCTGCAGTTGCATATCTGAATATGACTGTTCAGAAATGAGAATAGGCCCTTGAATGTTTAGTAATTCTTCAAATATTGGCAAAATGTCTCAGTGATGTGTCTGTGGAGGAGACACATTGCGACTATTTGATTATGTCATGACATAAAAGAGCCATTTTCACCCCCATTAATTGTGTCTGTGGTAAATCAAGTCCCACTAAAAACACAGAAATAGCTTTATCAACCCATTTAATTAAAGAGGTTGTTGCAGAATAGACTTTTTTCCCACAGTAGAGGTTATGATGTGTCACAGTAGGAAAAGCAGAGGCGATATTAATAACATTAACAATGGTGCACTTTAAAATAATTGTCCCTGTAACCTGAGAGCTTGGATTCAATTATTATTTACACCTGTGATTTTCCTACTGTGACAAAAAATCTGATGTCATTATGATCACAGGAGGTGTCAGCTGCCAGTTAATTAGGTACACCGAGGTAAAACTAATGCAGTCTAATACAACAGCCCTGGAGTAAATCCTCCCGTCATGACAGGTGTTCCTATTATTTTGCCCTCTCCGCTTTTATCAGTGAAGGCAGGCTAAATGACAGTTTAACTTTACAAATCACAGCCTCCAAAATGATCATAAAGTTGAATTCTTTGAAGTCTTGAAGTTGAAGTCTTTAAAACAGTTTGAACAAAAACCAAACATTGTGACCTTCATGAATGGAGGATTTACTGCAGGACTGTTGTATTAGACTGCAATAGTTTTAGCTTGGTGTACCTAATAAACTGGCAGCTGAGTGTTAGATTTGTTTTTGTCCATTGATGTTAACATTATCTTGTTTTTTTTGTTTAATAGATGACCATGAGGGATTCAAGCTGCCGGGCATGTCTTTGTGGAAATCAGGATATTCTGAAAGTCACTGTTGTACATAGACTAATAAAATTATCTTTAAATATGTTAAACTGTTGTTTTCTCTTAATTTAACATCTTGAACCGCTCGTGTGTTAGTCTGGGCTCGACATTAAAAAGACAAGCTTGTTATTTCATTAGTTTTATTTACACGCAATTTTTGAAATGCAGAAACAAAATGCAACGCATTAACAGTGTCACAGTTAGCCAGTGTTTGTATATTTTAAATCATAAGCCATTTAAATCTGGAAAAAACCATTGCAAGAACCAACGCACATAACACAAATGCTGAAAGAGAGCTGTGTTTAAAAGCAAAAAGAGGGGACAGCTTCTGTACGATGAATACTACAGCTTATAACAAACCCTGCCTGCGGGCTAGCTCGTATTTTCAATGACTTGACATGCAAAGAGTTCAAAAGGTCAAAGTGTAGTGTAAGGAAAAAAAGGAGGGAGGAAATCAGTCTGGCAATGTGATTAACACTCATTTCTTTTGTGTTAGGATTATGTGAAACACCTCATCAGGGCTGAATGATTGATCACACAGTCACTCGCGGGTCATGTGCACTACAAGTCAACCTGAGCAAAGCTTTCAAAGTCTCACGCTGTTCAAAGAGTGGTCTTAAAGCTACTTGGCAACAGTTAGCCTGGGTGTAATGTCGTTTAAAGTCAACCGAACAAGGGTGTTTAACACTGAGCTGAACACGTGTCAAAGAAATACTTCACCCACAGAATCACCATCTGTAAATCAGTCATGACGTACATTGAATTCAAGAGGGAAACTCATCTGTCTCACATGCCTCAACAGGAAACGCTGATCATATTGAGTTATTGACTGAATGGGGACCATGTTTAACAAACTCTTGGATTATACTACACAAGCTGTAAGTCTCATTTATCCAGTTGTATGCTCAGTACTTCTCAAACAGACACCACTTTCTGACAGGGAACTGCACTGAAAGGTAAACTTAGCTATGCTCTCTGTACAGCCAAACTCCATTGACAAAACCAGCGATTTTACCTCACTGAACACTGGAGCTGCTGCTGGTCTACTGCTGCCTCTATCACTTAGTTTGTGTTACTGTGTGACTTTGGGGTATCAGAACTGAGCCTTGTAAACACTGGAGCCACAGAATTAAAGAAAAAAATCAAGGCAGGGGTGCACCACAAGCTCCCATGTTAAGCAAGGTAAAATCACTGTTTTTGTCAATGGAGTCTGGCTTGGACGAGAAAACTTAAATAAGTTCCACTTTCAGTCTTGAATAGTAACCTTTTTGGTGTTAATACATGTTTTTCGGATGTACTGATGTCAGCATGGACCCCCTGTGGGACGTCCCCATGCAGCCCATTTTTTGTGACTGCGCAAAATCGCATCTCTTCCTCCAGTCTGAAACACTGCTGTTAAGCCAGTCGCAGCTGCCTCACGACGGTGAAGTTAGTTTCAAGTTTCTGACAGATGTTTCCTCCAGACCCAGCAGCATCTTATGTTTCACTTTCACCCGACGTTGCCAGTAGGAAGACGGAAAGCTCACCTCTCAAAGCAAAGCAGGAAGTGTGTCTGAGCCTTAAATTAGACTTGGAATATTCAGCACAAGTCGTGTGAGAGTCTGTAAATGGATGTTCTCATACAGTTATGTCACTATCAATATGTTTACCATTTTCTGTTTCCGTGTGAGAAAAATAAAGTTTTCTTCCAGAATTCAAGGTAACACATCACGATTGATTCACATACGAAAGGTAACTTTGAGACTGGAGTGTTCCTTTAGGAAGCAGTTGGGGGACAATACCAGATTCATGTTAACAGAGGTTGTAACAGTCAGCCTAAAGGTACGACGACTAACCGGTTAAAGCACAGCATATCATCACAACTTGAAAAACCACGACCATGAAATTATTATTTTTTTGAGCAATGAAAAAACAAACCTCAGCAGCTCCAAAGCAGGAGGTGAATCTTTTTAAAGTCTTGAGCGAGCGCTGAGAACATCCTGTCTGCATCCATGACGTGGCTGGTGGTTAATCAAAGGTTATGTCCATGGCATCATTCCCTGAGAGTGAAGAACTGCGCACCCCGAGCAAAACACACATCTCACATCAGCACTGGTATTTTTTTTTTTTTTTTTTTCTTCAAAGGAAAACCTCACTCATCCCATTGAAGTCCCACAAACGTTCTTCTGCATAGACCACAGTGGCTCAGAATACTTCTGTGTTTTTGTTGTTTTTTTTTTTGCTAAATGATAACTGGCACTAGTTGAAAAAGCTCAGGTGTAGATATGGAAGTTTCTCAACCTAACCTAGTCTCTATTCGCACATAGCCCAACACCTCTGGCTACAGGGAGAAGAGGAAACCCCAACAGACAAGAATCAACACAGGATCTATTCAACTGGGAGGGGACGGGGACGGGTGGGAGAAGGAGTTGTGACAGAATAGAAGGTAATAAAAGATTTGTAGGTAAATTGCTACTCAACAGATGATGATCACATGAACTCTAAAACACTCACATTTATACAAAAAAGTATGCGTTAAAGATAAAAAAGAGAAAAATCAACCCCGTTAAAAGGAAAAACATCCCTCGGAGTAATCCGAGGCTTTAGGGTCAAAATATAATAAAATCATTATCTCTTTCAATTAATAAATACATCATTCAGAATCCATAAAATAACACATTAAAAAAATCAACAACATAGATAAAACGAGAAATAAATTAAGCATGCGAGTCGTTTGTCGTCATTTTTCGAGACTGAGCAAACGACTCGTAATTCCTATTTAAACAAATTCAGAGAGGCAGCACTTTGGGCAGCTCGCCTTCAGCCGACAGTCACTCAGACACACAGATCCCCTCTGACGATCAAACATAGTGCTGATCTGAGAGATGAATTTGCACCAAAGTCACTAATGCATCTATTTAGATCCATACGGGGGCGGCAGGCCGAGCAAGGTGCTCCAGACGTCCCTTTACTGAGCAACACTTCCCAGCTCCTCCCTGGGAGACATGGGTTCTGGGTCTGCCCCGGGGCCTCCTACCAGTTGGACATGCCTGGAACACCTCTAACAGGAGGTGCCCGAACCACCTCAACTGACCGCTTTCGATGCGAAGGAGCAGCGGCTCTACTCCAAGCTCCCTCCAGGTCCGAGCTCCTCACCCTATCTCTAAGGTTGAGCCCAGCCACCCCACAGAGGAAACTCATTTTGGCCGCTTGTATCCGCCATCTCATTCTTCTGGTCACTACCCAGAGCTCATGACCATAGGTGAGTATCGGAGCTAGGGGTGTCAATGGTTAACTGCTGAGAATATTTTTCACGTGTCTGTCTACTGGTTAATTTTGCCTCTCTTCAGTTTACAGCACTGTGCACCACATTGGGAGTCGGGTTGCTGCGGTAGACCGGTTTTAAGGTGTACCATGATATGAAAATTAAAGATCATCATACCATGTTTATTTTTTTGTCTACGATATTGAAAAAAAAAAAAAAGAACTTGAAGGAGAATTTCAACTACATTTTTGTCATTTTTTAAAAGGGCAAATTTACTGCCATTTAAAAAAAATGGTTTCAAATTTCAATTATATTAATAAAAGGTTTGTCAGCCAAAGATGACCCTTCTGTTTTAATTCCTTTAACGGTCATTCTGACTCATAATAATAATTTTGTGATACCATGAAACAGCGATATTTTCGGTTTCGGTTATCATACAGTAAAAATCTCATACTGTTATGGGAGTTAATTAGCTAGCAGCTGATTCCTGCCAGTAGTGCTGTCCCGACCTGACAGTTCTGCTATAGGAACATGATAGCCACCTTTCAGTCTCGCCCCATTTCGCCCTGGTGAGTAAGCAGCTCAACTGTTAGCTGCAAATCCACTTTAGCACCATTGTTAGCTCTGCTAGCACAGTTAGCAGTGTCAGCATAATTAACAACTGTAACGGGGTTTTGCAGCTCAAATTGAATGCGCTTACTCGCTTGGGCAACCTTGGGGGAAACCTGAGGCTGTCTACTATGTTTCTGCAGCAACGCCGAGTTGCCACTGGGATTGAGTTACCAGCAGTAATCTCCACATAAGTGGTGTTGCTAGCTAGCTCCCACCAGGCCCAGGTTGTGCTCAGTGCAGAGGGACCAAGGCTAATGTTTGCTAACCAGTGGAGACCAGAGGGTGGGCAGTGGGCACTATGTTTCCGCATTTTTACGTGCCAGAAAATAAAATAAAATTCAAGATATTTACATAACAGAACATTTAAATTTCACCACCTCGAAATGGAGAGCGCTTTGAAATGCTGCACTAAAGCTCAATGAGTCAATGGAACGTTGGACCAAAAACAAAGGCCTCTTGTATTTCATGACTTTCCATTTTTTCTTAAAAATGAACCGGTTAGTTGCCAATTAATGTGTGGCGGGCTATCAAAAGCAAATTTAACCAAAACTGACATCCTGAGTTGAAACATAGATGGACTGGTAAATCCATCTCACGCTCCGTTTTTCCCTCACTCATGAAAAAGACCACGAGATACGAGAACTCCTTTGCTTGGGGCAGTGACTGTCTCCCAGGAAACTATGGCCTTACACTCTGAGGTGCTGACTCTCATCCTGACCCCTATACACTCAAACCGCCCCAGTGCACGCTGGAAGTCACGCTGTGAAGAAGCCAACGTAATTACATCATCTGCAAAGAGCAGAGATGCAACTCTGTCGTCCCCAAACATTTATAGATTTTTACAAATTGAAGAATCGGGGGAAGGATGCACCAAAGTGCTGCCTCTGTCTCATCTTTCCTCTCTCCACAAAGTCATTATTGCTGGTGTGATTGAGATAAAGGAGGGGCTGGAAGGGACAAGCATGAGTGGAGAGAAGTACATACAATAAGCACCATTTTGAAATCTCAGTTAGTTCACCGCGTCCTCCTTAGCACCTCGTTTCCCCCTCAGAGCCAGAGGAAAAAAACAAAAGACCCTGCTAGAGACATACAGCTCCGTTTCATCTGCTCCTCCGTCCCGTTCAGTCTGTCGCAGATAGCCGTGAAGCGAGTGAAGCTTGTGCGGAGGGGAGGGTGCGTTCAGCAGAGAGAGGAAATATTAAAACGTGATGCAGATGATGTTGGCATCGGAAGCTGCTCCCCGGCAAAGCGAGCGTTTCTGTTGTTTGTTTGGTAGACCTCCTACGTCTCCTTTGTCCGTCTGAATGCCCGCAGGAGCTTCAGTCCACCTTTCCCTGCAGCAGAAAATATTCATAACATGCTTGTCCCTCTCCGCTTCCCGTAGCTCCTTTCTGTTTTGTTCTTAGTGTGCTTGTGGTGAAGCCGTGCACTTGCTTATTTCAAATCCAATACCCTGTCTCCTAAGCATGCACAGTGAGCGTGTTTTACGTGTCAAGGTTCCATCAGTCTCCAGGCAGTGTGTTCATTTTTTTTCCTTCTCTCCATTTCTACAGCACAAAAAAGTGTCTGGTAACAAATACACCAATGTTTCTTTTTTCTTCTTCTTCTTCAAGAATACGTCCCCACGTGTCACTTTGCTTTTGAAGATTTGGAGTGTTACACAAAGACGCGATTGTGTCTGTTGAGTTTCAGGATCTTCCCCAGTCTCTGCTTGGCTGTGGCCATTCCTTTTTTGGGCCGCTTGCCTGAGAGGAAAACAAGAAAGAAAATTACGACAGTGTTAGAAATGAGCCTAAAAATGAGTGAATGATCAAAATGCATGTCTACTAGTGCTGTAAATAATGATTATTTGGTAACTGTTTAGTGTAAATGTTGTCATATTTTATGTCTGTCTAAAATAGTGAAAAAAAAATACCCATCCCAATTTAAATGGTGACATATTTAAATGTCTTTTTTAAACCAACATTCCAAACCCCAAAATATTTATTACTATTTACTTTCATAAAAGACAAAAAAAAAATAAAAAAAATAAAAATGTATAATTGAGAAGCCAAAACTAGTGAATTTCGCGGCTTTTTTTTAAATAAATGAGATCATCAAAATTGTTGCAAATATAAATTGTATGTATTATTTTTTCAAATTTATTTTTATTTTTACTTATTTATTTTTACATTTTTAATTTTAATTTTATTTTCAATTGTTATATATTTTTAAGGTCATATAGGCGCACATTATCAGTTAATTTACTTTATTCATTTACTGCTATCGAAGCATTTTTACATCACATTAATTCTGCATTAATGCTGCTCCCAGTCCCTTCTGCACATCATCTGTTATCTTTTAATTAATTTTTCTTTGCCTAATCTATTAATTTAAAAAAGGTTCCCTCCAGATGCATTTTTCTCTAATTTGAATAACTGTTTGACAAAAAGTTAACTAACCAACTTTTTAACATTTTTGAAATTACATAATAATAATAATAATAATAATAATAATAATAACTTTATTTATGTAGCACCTCTAAAAATGGAGTTTACAAAGTAATTTGGCAAAGAAAGCAAAGCAAAAGCAACATACCTCAGAGGCTACATAACAATAGACGCCAAAAAGCAACGCTGAACTAAGGCATGAAAAAAGTTAAGGTGCAATTAAACAAGAGAAGATGCAAAAATATACTTGGAAGAAGACTGATGATGATGATGATAATTTGTCAAACTTGGATATAAAATAAAATTTAAAAAACAAAATCAGCAAACTCTTGAATAAAAACACTGTTCTGGCTCTCTACTGACAAGAAGTAAAAATGTGATTTCCAAACCTTTCGTGGCCTGATTGCTGACAGGTGGGGGGTTGGGGGCGTGCCTCTTGGAAGGATGCAGCGGCGGAGACATTGAGGGGTCACAGTACTGGTAGTCCGTCTCTGGGCTGGGCAGCCCCTGATTGTCCCAGGCCTCGCTGCTGTTGCCCTGGCTGTCCATCGGGCTCTTGCCCCCCTGCAGTCGGTGCTGGTGCTGCGCCTCCTCCCTCTGCTCCAGCGGCGAGCACTGGCTGGAGCCGGACCACCAGGGCTCCCGGGACGAGGTCACCTTCTCCGGCTTGGAGGAGCACAGCAGACCAGCCATGGACAGCATCCCCTGAATGGCCTCTTCTGTGCTGGGTGAGGTAGGACGTTCTCTGCAGGGAGAAGACACGACTTCTTATTTACTATCTCTCAGTGTGTGTATAAAAATAATATATATTTGAGTTTTGAGTGGTGCCGTGGTGGGACAGTGTTTCTCACCGTTTGAGTGGTTTGTGTTTGTGCCTGAGTTTCTGGCCAGACTGGTCCAGCTCTATGGTGTGCCCTGAGCCTCTCTGCTGAGATGAGCCCCTTTCTTCATCCTCCTCTTCATCCTGGGAACTCTCTGAATCCTCGTCAGAAGACGACGGCGACGATGATGATGCTTTACGCTACATTGACAAGATGCAGATGTATTTACAACTCTGGCACGACACACAATTTAATGTATCACTTACCAGCTGCTGTTTAAATTGCTGTACCTGCATGCACATCTTAAATTGTGGCCTTGCCTATATTGTCAGTATGGACTGTATTTGTGGCTTTGTATCACCGTCTACTGTCTGTTCTGCATGTTTAAATCAATAATAATAATCATTATAATGTTTCCATGGATACATTTTGCCTACAACACAGTTTTAAGAGACACTGATACTACAAGGAAAACATTGATTATGGAGCTGTAATAAGAACAAACAACCAAATTCATCTCAATATCTCTGAGCCGCATGTGCTTCGGTGTTTATGACATTTGTTGCTGTTGCTCAGTATTTACCCCTGTGGGAGAGTCACTGTCTGAATCCACATCTGACACACTGGAGTGTCCTGAGACTTCTTCCCTGAGTTCAGTCTTCACCCTCTCCAGACCGCCTGGGAACACACAGGAACACACCGTCAGTGTTAAACATCGACACAGTAAACAGACTACAAAGCTTAACATAAAGGTTTATTTATCATAGTAACAGCCACTGGTGACTTACTGAAGTGTGTGGGTTTCTCGACTGTTCTGTGCTGCTCTCGACTGTCCTGTGTCCTCTCCAGCTTCACGTCCACACGACTCTTTGGTGGGCCGACAGATGACCGTTCACCCTCCGTCTTCACGGGGCTGCTGCCTGGCCGCCTCATGTCTCTGCACACACAAACATCCATGTTTGAGTGATGAAATCAAATGTAACTCTGACATAAAATATTGAGAATCTCGACTGTAAAATAAAAACATTTACATCATCAAAACTCTTGACTGTGGTGTGACGAATCAAAGTGAGGGTTTGTCTGTGCAACTTAATTCCCCTGTTGTTTTCTGCTTAAAAGGCAAACGTAATGTTATTTAAGAATTTTATTGTTGAACCTTTCGGACTATTGTGCCTGAAACGTTCTCATTTTGTTCCCCAAATTCAAGTTGGCTGATTGTGTGCAAATGACCACTGAGCCTCACTGAATGAGAGGCACAAACATAGCTGTGTTAACCGAAGAGACGTGAGCTCCCACCTGATAATTCTGCCGTTGACCAGCATCAGCCGTAGGTGGTTGTCATCTAAAGACTCTGCAGCAGCTGCTGATGCAGTTGACACTTTGTTGAGCTTCCCACGAACCTTGGCACAGAACGCCGCATCCTGAGTACAACAGACCCGCGTCAGTTAATAAATATTCAGTCTATTACATCTTTAATCCACATGTATACGCCAAGGGAGCATCTACACTACTGTCAGTAAACACTGACTGCTCACCTCCTCCAGCGGTCCCACCTCCAGCCTCTTCAGCACCTCCCTGGTGTGCCGCTCCAAGATGTCCAGGTTGGAGGGCAGTTTGGGGGCCTGTCGCTGCTGCTCCCTCAGCCGCCTGGCAGCCCTCCTCGCCTGCCGGGCCTGGCACAGCCTCTCCAGTGTGGCGCGAGTTGCCGGGCAGCCGTTTGTTCCAGATGCTACTCCACACCCACTTCCCTGAGATTTCACTGGCTTGCTACCACCGACTGGCTCCTCCTGTTGACGTGAGTAAAACACACTGGAGTCAAGTTTCTATTAGAGTCGGTAATTTACAAGTTTACAAGATTTTTGAATAGTTTGAATTGTTTCATATTTAACATTTTTTAAAGCTGTCTCATTACCACACGTCGGCGTGCATCCTTCGTGTGGTCAGTCAAGGTTTTATTTTACGCAGAGTAACATAAGTCAACAACCAAAACAGGAAAACATCACAGTGGTATAAATGTACAGAAGCACAGTGCATTCACTCAAGAAAAAAAATATCTGCCCTGTCTTTCTGATTTATCAAGACAATATTGTCTCTCATTAATTCAGAATTTTTATTTTCATGAAAACTTTTCTTGTAATTTTGAGATATTATTCTTGTTAATTCGGAAAAACAGGGCAAGTATTTCTATTCAAATGAATGCATAAAGCTTCCGTATAAACAGAATATATGAAAAAAACAATGGTTCAGACTTAATTTCCTGCATTCTAGTAACTTTTAAGGCACTAATTTGTGCCTTCTTTTTGCATTTAATGTTGTAAATGTCTCAAATTTTGTCAAAATAAAAGTCGGGTGGCACAGTGATGCAGTGGTTAGCTTTGTCGCCTCACAGCAAGAAGGTTCCTGGTTTGAACCCCAGGGTGGGGGAGCCTTTCTGTGCGGACTTTGCATGTTCTCCTAGTGTCAGTGTGGGTTTTCTCCAGGTACTCCAGCTTCCTCCCACAGTCCAAAGACATGCAGGTTAATTGGTGACTCTAAATTGTCAGTAGGTGTGAATGTGAGTGTGAATGGTTGTCTGTCTCTATGTGTCAGCCCTGTGATAGTCTGGTGACCTGTCCAGGGTGAACCCTGCCTCTCACCCAATGTCAGCAGGGATAGGCTCCACCCCATATTATTTCAATGTAACATTTTTGAATAAAAATGTAAACTTCATCCTTCATATGCTGTCTCTAAGACAGCAGTTCCCAACTGGTTCTGCCAAGGGGTCCAGATTCCCCCTTAGTCATTAAGTCAAGGTCGACAAAGTTTAATAGCGTCATACTTGCCTTTGGCCACGATGTTGAGGTAGTTAGCTGTCCGTTATTCACTCACTTGACAGCAGGAAAAGGCACTTCAAAATAAAAGCTAGTGCCAGAAATTCAGTGTACTTTAAATACATTGTGTTATTTACAAACTTGACACATTCGCAAGTCAACTGCGGTCCATACGGAATGGTCCCGGGACCCATTTTTGGACAACAAGGGCAAATTCAGCCTACTTTTGTCCCATAATTAAAGCGTCAGCCTGTCTTCTGTCCTTTGTATTTTATTGCTTTTTCGATGTACGTCCTTTTTTGTGACAGCAAATCTGAATTTTTTTTTTTGCCCTTCTGAGCTTCCATATTTGAATTTGTTCACAGATAGCAATGTGTGGGTACTTTGTTTCATCTGTGCAGCTGTTGTTACCAAATACCTGTAAAAAAAAAAAATGTGTGGATGTGCATGTGGACGATTACCACTGCTAAATAAACATAATCTCTACAAAATTATTCTACAGCTTTTTGTAACATGATACAGTTAATATACAAAACCAGCACCGATGCTCAGTTCAGGATTTGAGCTTTTCTCAGAGCAGACATCAACACCTAAATTAAAAACTCTGACCCTCTCTTTTATCCTTCCCTCCTCGTCCCCTCTCTTACCTCCAGGTAGCGGATTTCCTTGGTCAGCTCTTTAATGAGATGGTTCGGCCTGATATGGTCTGGTACCTCACTGGTGGGCTCAGTCACCTGCAAAGCCACAGCAGAGCACATTCAGACAGGAGAGGTGAACAGAAAGGAGTCTGTTGTCAACCACTGACACACATCCAGGAGATAAGAACCAACAGCGGTGACGACTGTGTAACAATAACCATCTGCACTGGAGATATTTGAGGCAGGTGCGGGTATACGGAGATGACCGTGAGAACACTGTGGCCGACGCTCACCTCTCTTTTCAACCAGGTCCTCAGTGCACTGATTAAAGCCTTGACTCCCTCCACTAGGTAGGTCGGGGGCGGACAGTTGTCATCCCGTAGCTCTGAGAGGGGAGAAAACATACATAAGAGTTAAACCTGTAAAAATCACAGATAGAAAATTTAAAACTGAAGTCATTAAAGTAACCAAGGGAGATGTTTATAACTTTGCACTGTAACTTTTCCCAAGCTAATGCTTAAAGGTACACTATGTTGAAATTGTCTGTTACTGTCTGTAAACTTGTTCGCCAGAGAAAGTGAAAAGCCAACTCCAGATTCACTCTCGTTTGGGTATGAGCTTTGTCCACTTGATGTTTTGCCTCGTTATATTTGCAAGGTTTTTTGCAGCACTGTGTTCACAATTTTCATAGCTTTCTCTTGGTTGCCTGCTGCTTACAGTCTGGCACCCGGTTACTACTTTTTTGTAAATGAAATGAAAATGTCCCGAACACAGGAAAATAAGAAGAAAGTACAGGCAGACGTCTGTAGTCTCTGCAGAATATACACTGCCACACACTTCTAGCTGGTCATAAGTGATGACTGAGAGGGATTACTTCTGTATGAGTTTTTACATGTCTTTTTAAGGATAATCCTGCATAGTATATCTTCAATATTTAGGTACTGGAGGAAGCACTAACCTTCTGACCGGAATATTTGCCATTTCTTACATTTACAAGCTGATGCTTGTATTGTCTTTTTTAGGTTTTAAAAGATTTATCTTAACTAAAGAAACAGTGTCATTTTTCTCAAATCACAGATACGACTTTTTATGTGAAAAAGTTTTTTTTTTTTTTTTTTTTGGGGGGGGGGGGGGGGGGTGTCATAAAGCAGTGACTGTTTTAATGCTAGAATTGACCATTGATCTTCTGGGTTTTGTTAACATTGGCAGAACACTGTGGCTGACACTCACCTCTCTTTTCAACCAGGTGGTTTTGTGATTTTGTATTTTGTAGGGAGGAACAATTGGCTGATGATGTTATACAATTCTTGTTCCTCTTATTATTGTTCTTGTCATTATTATTTTCCTTGATTGTTGATTTGTTTTTTAATTAATTTGCACAATAAATATTGTTTTACTTGTTTAATTGTTTCTTTTTTTAAGTTAAAATTATGTTTGCTACATGTAATATAAGCCTAGAAATATTATGTTTCGTCATCTTTTAAAATGATGCTTCACAATAAAAACATTTGAAAAATCACAAACTGTAAAGCCAAAAAGTATTGCATGGATGTTAATTAAACCCAGAAGAAAACAATAATCAAATATTGTGAAATGTGTGATATGAATTTGGTCAACTCTTGTATTAAAACAGTCACTGCTTTATGACCCAAAAAACACAAAACATAAACCATTAGTTTGATTTTTTTGTAAAGATCTTTCTTTGTGAATTGAGAAAAATGACCCTACTTGTTTAGGGTAAGATAAACCTTTTAAAAATCTAAAAATACAGAGTCACAAAGCTGTGTTTCTTAGTTGGAAGTGTGCATGCAGTGGGTATCATAGGGACTGAACAGTGACTGAATGGTGTCTTGAACAATTAAACTACATACATTTGAATAGATGCTGCTAGCAAAGATTTGCTTTACATTTACGGCTTGTTATTTGTCCTGTTGTTTTCTGTTTTACATCTGATGTTGTGTGTTCTTATCTGCATGTGTGTGTGTTTATATATCAACATTAGACTCTCACCTTTTAGCATTTCCAAGAGGTTCTTGGCCACATACCAACAGATGGCCTCGAAGTAGGGAAACTTGAAGAGGTCTGGGGTTTTCAGACGACGCTCCATTTCATAACACCTACAAACCAACAGATGAAACACAATTTAGTGATAAACTAACAAACACAAGAGCAAATTTATTTCTAGATTATATTAAAATAAACACAATCACGCTGATTCTTTGTACTATACGAGCTGTTTACCTGAGCTGCATGCCAATATTGAGGTTGTGAAGGAAGTTCCCTCCAAACGCCATGCAATCCTGAGAGGTGAGAACAGCATGGATCCAGCCTGCAGGGGGCGCCAGAGCACAGAGAGTTTACACAACCTGCCCACACACTGACATGCAACAATACTACACTTAAGAGAGAAGAGTTACACTTCAATACAATGCAGTTGATTAAACATGTAGCTTAGAGTGACGTGCATGTGGATATTTACAGCACTTAAATGACACAAGTGTATGCACAAAAACAAACTTCTGATCCTCCCACAGTCAGACTTTAAAAAGATAAGGCTATTCCACTGTCATGCTCCCCCTCAGATAAACACTTCTCTTTATACAACCCAAAGTGAGAGAAAGCAGAGTCTGAGGGAAGGGGGGTGTAAGGCTGATAGACAGGCCTGATAATGCACTGGTTGACTGACCTACTGTGCTCTCTGACCCCCACTTAATTCCCACCTCTCCACACCCTCTCTGCCAAAAGCTCTCCTTTACAACACTGCTTCAGCCTGCTGAGAAAGCATCGGCTGCAAGACTGATTGAGGACGTCCAGCAGTTGACGGGCTCAACTGAGCTTTGTCTGTCTGTATGCACGGGCAGCGCAAAGAAACTCAATCCGCTTACAAAGTCTATAGAGAGCCTACTGATGGATGGATAATGGTACGACTGGAGACATTAGCTTCACTCAGATGAATGAAGGCATGTCATATTCAGTTAGCGACATGAAACACAAACATCTTTTTACCCTCCGAACGCTACTTCTAATTAACAACAGCAGCGCCGCTAGTTAAAGGAATGTACGGAGTCACGTGCAGAGGAGAAGCTGTGATCTGCAGAGTCAACTCTACTTTCATCTTATTACATAATAGCACTGTTCTCCTTCATTTTTCCATTGCAATTATGATCATTAAGAACGGTTTGGGTTGTTGCTCAGGAAGACATTCGCTCTCTGTTATTTTCCCTTGGCAATGATAGAGGACCTTCAAGAAGAAGCCTGTATTTTCCTGGCAGGAGCCATGGGAAGCGTGATTATTTTTACTTTTGGATGCATGCGAAAAGACAAACAAATCCGACAACAGGTCAGCCGAGTTGGTGCAGAGGAGTCAGGCACCAAGCACAGAGGCATAACATTAGAGCTGTCCGATAGGGGTAAGCAATTAATCACATTTCAATGTCAATATCAAGGTCAAGACACTTGTCAGCTCTCAAACGATTTAGACTGATAAACACCACTACAGGTAAGAGGAATAATGTGTATTTTTGATTTTGGGGTGAACTGTCCCTTTAAACAAAGTAATTGAAAAGCATTTTTCCCCAACAACTGAACATGTTCTTGGCATTAAACAACTGTTTTGATGTTTTCCAGTCACACGAGCACAGAGACTGCTCTTGTTGAAGAAGTATTTCACTGCTGGAAACCTTCTTTTAATAAAACTTGACTGTCTGCAGAACAATTACCTTTGAAATTGGTGCTACAAGACCGAAGAAACGAGAAAAACAGCTGTGGCGTTTGGTTTTGCTCACGAGGCAGAAAGCCTACAACTACTAGAACACACCAGACCAACAGAGTCCTCCAAGAATGAGTCCGAAAACCTAGAAATGAGCTTGCATTTTGGTTCGCTGGCCTCAATGTCAATTGTTTTTTTTTTTAATGGGTTTTGGTGAGACGCCTGAAATAAGCTCTGTGGTTTACACAATGTGACTCATGAATTTTCAAGCTTTGATGTGTCTTAAAAAAGCTAAGCTGCTAACAAGTGGCTAAATGAGACTATGTAACGTCATCATGCCGACACGGCCTTGCAGCCTCGTTGTGGTCGGGATGTAAGTCATGCGACTGTGGTGTAGTTTGTTTATAGAATGACGTTAGCATTTTACTTCTAGTGGTTGCATTGAGGCTTCAAAAAACCATAAAAGTGGATATGTCCCACTGGCTTTTTGACAAGTTAACCAGGGCAATGCTGACGTCTGTGTCAGCCTACAGAAAACGTCATCTCTGGGGCGCTTTATAAATGCTCCCACTGGTGGGAGACGTGACGCATGCTTGGGTATTTTGACACAGGAAAAAATGTGGCGGCCAGCTGGTAACAAGCGATCATGAATTACAGCTAAACACAGAGCTAAAATATGTTTCTGAGGCCAGAAACTCTAACAGAATATTGGTTCAAATTTAATCAGAACTGCTTAGTTTTACCATTTGAGCTCCATTTTTAACAGGGAACAGTATGCTGCCCTGCTCATGAACTCTCATATTACAGCCAAACAGTGCACTAAAGCAGTGGTCCCCAACTGGTGGGTCGCGGGCCCATTCTGAATGGACCGCAAGTGGCTCACAAACATGTCAAGTTTGTAAAAAACACACTTTATGTTTAAATACAGTGAATTTGCAGCACAGAGTTTTTATTTTGAAGTGCCGTTTCCTGCTGTAGAATGACTGAATAACAGAGACAGCAAACTAGCTCAACGACATGACCAAACACAAGTATGGCGCTGAATGTATTAAACTGTCTAAACCTTGAACTAATGACTATGGAGAAATTCGGATCCTGTGGCTGGACCAGTTGCTCTAAAGTTTGAGGACATTTTAGGTGAGAAATAGGCACTACAGTAACAGAACCATTTGATCAGCACTGCCTGGTTTTACAGTTTGAGTTGAGGTTGAGAGAGAGGGAGAGATGTCTTTGTGTCATGGGGGTGGGCATACAAACATGCAGAAGTACAATCCTTAGCCCTTTTTAGATCAGAATTGTGCAAATTTGCAGGAAAGCCCAATCAGTCTTTTTTCAGCATTGGCAGTATAAAAACAAAATCGGGGAGTGCAGCAAAATGCCGCCTACCTACTTTTGTTTATACAGAATGTGCCTTTTTCAGGGCAATGGGGGGAATGAGCAAGTAACAAAACATATAGCTCAGCGTGTGACGTAAACAGTGACGTGGGAGGGAAGCCGCTGCTAGTCAGGCGGCGATTCTCTCGTAAGTCGGCCTGTTCTTCACCGTCCCCGTCATCTGACGGTTAATGGCCTCTTCGTTTGCGAGGACAAGGAGGGTGCGCAATTCTTTGTCTCCACAGTTGCTCATCTTTACAGTGTCTGTCAGGTTTGTGTTTCCCTCTTGCTACTAGCTGCTCGCTAATTCTTGCTATCAGCTGTTTCCTGTTTATCCACCTCCAGTGGCTCGCACATGCGGCGTCATCAACAGCTCCTCCCACAAGTCTTCAACAGCCCCTCCCGTTGTTGAAGGCCACCTCGGATTAACTCGCCATTCTGCCTCTGTGTGTCTAAACACTCGCAGCTTGCTGGTAAAACGGCTCAACATTCGCGGAAAATCTGGCAGTGTCAAAGAGGCTTATAGTGCAAGCAACAGCCCTAAAGCCAGCGAAAGTTTGCTGGAAGATGGGAGAGATGAGCAGGGAGATCAGGATGCTGGTAAGATGGAGGGAAACTTTCCATAGCTCATTTATATATCCCCCTGACATTATTATGATACAAAGCTGGTTGAAAATTGGCAAAGTGTCCCTTTAAGGTCTGGAATGACATCCACTTCAACATAAACAGTGGCAAAATTTCAGTCTCAGTATTATTAGATCTCAGTGGAAACTGGGATGGACTTCCTGGCACTGTGCTAAACTGGCATGAATTCAATCTCAATGATAAGGACTTTGCTGTGTCCTTATTTTACCCTTTAAAATCTATTTATACTTGTCGTTTTATACTGCCTTGTAAAGCACTTTGAAATGGCTTGTTGTTAAAAGATACAGTACAAGTCACCTCTACCTTGTCATCAGTATTCACAACATATGGTCAACTTTACTAACATTGCTCATAACCGGGTGTTCTTTCTTGGGATGTTCATTACACTAGAGAACGCAAATACAGATTTAAGAAGAGGTTAAGTGGTGTATGAGCTACTGTCAGTCACCAAACGAACCAAACTACAGACGTGAAAGCACCTTAACAGCAGAACGAGAGCTGCTTTGGTCGTGATGATAAACAGCGCCACATAAAACATGTCACACACACACATTAACATGACCACAGACCTGTAGGGATGAGCAGGGTGGTTCCTTGGGGCACGACACACTTGTAGCACTTATCCACTTTGTCCCCAAAGAACACTTCACTCTGATTGGGCGAGGAGCTCCATGCCTCATATAGTGCAAGGTTGGCGGGAGTGGGCTTGATCAAGTAGAAGATCTTCTCACCCTGTGGAGCGGATGAAGAGGAGTTTAACAGTCACCACACTGTAATGACACTTGGATGAGTGTTGGAGCGTGGCAGCTGCTGATGGTGATGCTGCTGTTATAAACACCCACAAACATCCACCCACGGACGCCTTGATATTAATGTCAGCTTTAGTTTATGGAAGAGGGAGGGTGAGATCATCAGCACGGGCACAGCAGCGCTGCCCCCGGAGCTGCTTGATGAAGAGATGTGATGTGAGAAGCAGGGTGACCTTTCAGCAAGCGTTAGCCAATCAGCCGTGGCTGCCTGCCCCAGATACCTCAGTATATACAAACACACTGGAAAACCACTTGAGCTTGACAAATGAAAGCGCTGCATGGTTTTAAATTAAACAACAAACAAAGAGTTAATGTGACCGGGTGTGTGTTACGTTTGCACTCACCCAGAGAACATGGTACCAGACAGAGGTGCCTCCGAAGTCTATGTGGAAATCTGTGTAGCTGTCCTTGACCCCCATAAGGCAGTACTTCTGGACAAAGGGCTTGGGGAAGAAGGAGTCGTCCGGCCAGTAGTTCTCTACCCAGGACATCTTCTGAGCCACATCAGGAACCTCCACCAGCTTTGACATCCTGAGTGGGTGGTTGGAGCGAGGCAGAAGAGAAGAAAGCTTAGACTTTGACAAAACTGCTGTTACTGATAGCAGGTCTGTCCTAATCAGAGTGTCTGCCTGTATTAGACACTTAAATGTAATGCTTTTTAAGACCTTTTTAAGATTATTTTTAAAACAAATTTAAGACGGATTATATGGACAAATCATCTTTTTCTTATTCAAGCATTGCAGTTAAGTGTAAAGGTAAGAAGTATATATATCACACATGAAGAGGTAGGTTTTATGTAGGATTATGGTTATTAGAGTGAGATAAATTAAGCACTAAGGTTCGGCACTAAAGACCCGTTTCCACCAAACACTTTGGGTATGGTACCTTTGGAACCAAAAGTAACCCTTCAGACATGGTACCTAGACCCTAGTCTTTCCACCACAAACAGTCCTCTTTCATGTCATCCAAGAGAGACAATAAAAACTACAGTACTGGTCAAAGTTGTCACAGTGAAATTTAAGGTGTGTTGACTGATTCACGTCGTCAACTCATGCATTGAGTAACATAACAAGTACATTCCACCTTAAAAGTCGCCGGCAGTCGGCCCAGTGAATTATTTTCTCAGACTACAGCTACTTTCATTTTATAGTTACAGTTTACTAATAAAACTCTCCACAGTATTAACAGTGGTTACAAGAGCCTCAAAACCAGCCACAACTCAGCCCTGAGCAGAGTGACCGTCCACCTTTTAGTAACAGATCTGTGTGCCAGGCACCCCAACAGAGGGGATAACCAAAAATGGGGCCGGTACAGAACGGTTCCATTGGTACCATCCACAACTTTTCACAGAGGAAACAGATATAAGTGTACCGCACTGCTCTGTGAAAACGGGGCTTAAGCTGCTACCACTGTTTGAATGTTTAAGAAGGAGGTGCGCTAGGATGAAAATGGTGACACAGATGTACCATGGGAATTTAACAATGTAGGCATATCTCAAAGATGACAATGTGTTTCGATGTTTTCACTTCGCATCAATGATGCCAGATCATTAATTACTGAATCAATCTATATATCAATCCAGACTGATGTCATTTTACACCCCTGGTTGTTACGTTAAATGTATTATTGGTCGATATATCCTTGGTAGATTTTCTGAAATTCCCAAATATCGATATCGGGCATCGGCCTAAAAAAAATCCACTTTTGATCTGAAATGCAGAGATAGGAAATTATGTTTTACTGACTGGAAGTAGCCGGATTTCAGGAAGATTTAAGGTACTCAAATACCGGCATATTACAAATAAATAAACACAAATGCCAGACTTTGACTCTGTTTGTAATTCTGCAGCTCCTTCACAGATCAGGAGCAATGGATTGATTAATATGCTCACATGAAGGCACACTGTCGCAGAGCTCAAGCACTTTGACCATATGCTTTTAATTTGCTATTCTCTGCAATGTAAGTTACAGTGTGTGCAAGTTTGCTCTCATATACGCAGTGATAAACACTCAATAGCATTAGGTATTACTTTGGCACAGTCTGTATCTGCAGTGGGAGGCTGCCTGAACACTGTGGGGAGAAGGACTCGTCTGTTTTGGTCTTATTCCGCCAATCTGACACATTCAGGCGATACCTTGAACAATGTCAACGTACAGTTGGACACAAACATTGTACACTGAGCTTGACGAACCTGGCTAACCAGGCTAAGCTGACTAGCATCCTGCAGCTAATGGACAGCAACTGGTGTGCTGCCAAAAGTTTTCATACCGAACCGAACGTCATGTACCGAAAGGTTCAGGACCAATACTTGTACCATTACAACCCTAGTGTGTAAGTTCATTCTTGACCTTTGAGACAGTAGTTTGACAAAAAAATGACTCCTGTTTGAGTTTGACTCTGTCTGACAAAATGGATGACACCTAAATTAAACTGCTAACTATGTTACATAATTGCCAAAGCTAGTTTACATAACTGTTTTCTGCAGTGTGACTCGTGCTGCATGTGTTTACTGGGAATCTGTGAATCTCACTGAGGCTCCTCCTTCGGCCAACAGAGTGAACAGACTGGAGCATAACTTACTTGGTGTCAGAGAACTCCAGGCTGATGAGGTTGAGGACCTTGGGTCGATCCGGGTTGGTGAAATACTTGATAAACTCGCTGAGCTTCATCTTGCTGTCTGCCTGCCGGGCCACATCTATCACATCGATGACTTTGTCGCCACCTAGATGGGAGATAATTACTGTTTAGTCCACATGATATCAGACAGGGAAGTCAGTGACTCTTGAATGAAGAATATCTCCAACTTTTTAATTGGCTGCTGAGTGGGCGTCAGGGTTTACTGGGGTCAGCGGCCTGCTGGCATCTTCATGTGCTTTTTGAGATCAGGCCCTGAGGGAAACTGGCACCAATATGGCAGCGTGGGGAGGGGTTGTACAACGAGGCGAGTGAGCCAATCTGTCAATCTGTCCGGACCGGCAGTCCCTGAGGAGGAGTGGGTGGAGGTGAGATGGCCGGTGCGTCTATGTGAGCGTGGGAGACCTTGAGTGTAGAAGGAAATCCGCGTATAGATGTGAGAAAGAGCGTGTGCATAGGCTTCATGTGGTGTGTTTACGCTTATGAGACAGAAAACAGATGCTTGAAAGAGAAAAGAAAAAAGAAGCTGAAACTCATCGAACACAGCTAACAGTTGGGACGCTACAAATCACACTCGGGTGACACATGGGGCCGGAAGTAAGACCCGGGTGCAGTGTGTGTGTGTAGCAAGACAGCTGGTTGTTGTATTTTCCCCACACCCCTCCCACTCACCTTTTTTATTACCCCTTTGCGTGCTCTCCCTCTCTCCCCCTCACACACACACACACACACACACACACACACGCACACACACAAACATGCACTTGCACTCACAGACACCTCTGAAGGCCCAGCTGGCCAGCGTCTGATGACAGAGAACAGCTGGAGTAAAGGCAGTCAGTCACACAGTGAGAGACAAAGCTGCCTGGAAACCACACAACGCCACGTTCAAACACCAGCTTCACAAAGCCAACAGCGAGAGAAAAAAACAAAATCAAACACCCAGCTCAAGAGACACTTGAGCTACCTGATGTCCCACAGCAATATATTACAACACACAGCCATGTACAAGAGGTCGTTCACTAAGGTAACTCTTGCAAATATGACCAGGAACTTGTTTCTCACACAATTAATTTAAAACCAGTTTAAGTTTCAGTGTTTTTCTTGTTAATCACCAATGCATATGTGGCCAAAAATCATTAACTCATTAGCTCTTCACCATCAATATGGCACCATTCTTATTACAGGGCTCCTACAGCAAAAGTCAAGTTAGATTTAAGACTTTTTAAATGCCACTCTGAAGTAAACTGAAGACAGAGGCTTACAGACAATTTTGCCCAGATATTTACTGTAAAAAAAAATCATGACTCGAGACCGGGTAAAACACAACTGGTAAATATGCAGCATTTGTTGGTGAGTTTTCTTGATTATTTTGTGTTACTCACTCTGCATGTGAGATTCCACTGCCTTTATTGCCATCCTGCCAAGTGGGAAAACTTTCTACATAAAACACACCAAGCCTCGTATGGACTGCCTTGTACTGATAAAACCCTACTTCCCGTATCTTAGCATTTTTACGATTTTTGAAAGATTGATTTCAGACATTGTAAAACCAACTATTGCCAGGTTCAGACTATACGTTATCAGCTCAATTATGGCCTGAGGCACCCATCCTACGTGTGTCAGCTAAAATAGTGAACGACAAGTCTTGTGCGTGACAATCCATTGTTTTATCCCATGTAGTGTGTCATAGTTGATGACAACTGACGCCACGTCTGGGACACCTCATGACATCCGAACAGAAAGTCTAGCTAAGTCTATTTGATTTTCGTTTGTCTTCCACAACTCTCTCAGTCACAGCCGTCACTTTGACCAATAGAAACACAGAGCCAACACTGCTGCCATTTATAACTACATATTTCCTCTAGGGATGTTACCACGACAGAGTAAAAAGGAAAAACGCTGGCGGGATATAGCAGAGGCACTGCAGAGGCACACAGGTGAGTCCTGCCATTAGCATCAAGCTCACAAAAAATGTTAATTCTTCATAGTCTCGCTCACCAGACCTTTCTCAAGAAAAGAAAGGTCTGGCTGGGCCGACTCTCACTATAAGATTGGAGACAAAAACACCCCGGCTGCTTGCATTTCTTTCAACCAATCACAATCGTTCTGGGCGGTGCCACAGCAACGGTGCGCTTGCAAAAATATTGCCGGGGGGAAACAGGTTTTGGTGTGACACGCCCACAAAAATATCGCCTACAGGACGCGAACCATGGCAGAAAAATGGCTACATCCCCGCAAGATCAAACACCACAAAAGTTAGTAAAGGACGTGTTGACAATGGTTGAAAACTGCTACACAACCGGAGGTGGTAGGGCGGGACTTCAGCGGGTGGCTCGTTCCGCCCAATGAGAGGCTGATCTATGCAGCGAACTTCCGCCCGCTCAGACTAAATTCTTCATAATACTTTACAGAAGGATTGGGTAGGAAAACATACCATAGTGGCTGGGCCTTTACTCACAATAACTGCAGAGGGTACCAACTTCATTTTAAAACTACTACATCAGACTTTATTTCTCATTCCCTCTATAGTTATCCATTTTTATTTTTAATCCGCTCCATTTGAAATTAAAAGCCCCTTATAATTTCAGTGAAGAGCAAACTTTGTTGTGAAACATTTGCAGGAACTTCTTGTGAAGGATTCAGTTACGTTACTACAAAAACAGTTTGGCTGGGACATGAACACCTATAGGGACTGAAATAATAATAATAGTAATAAAAATAAACATAAGACACAAATAATGTGATGACATCACACACATTGTGAAAGACAACCCACAATGACTGCCCGTGGACCAACACTTAGTCTGTCAGCCAAGATTTTTTTGACTCCATAATCTGACATAGTAACTGCCCGAACGGACGAACATGTCATGAAGTCTGAACCCGGCATGAGGCCTTATTTTTAGACAATTGAATTCAATGCCTTTTAGGATGTTTAAGAATCCGCAGGGACCCTGTGGTGTTAAATATAAGGATGGGTACCACATGTACGATTTACATTATCACGTCATATATCACAGAGCCATCTGTGACCTCAGCACTCTGTCCGTTGCTCTGTAATTCATCCACATAGCGTTTCCTACACAAACCTTATGGGAAAAGTCTAAACATTATTTCTTAAGCGTTATCCAGCAGCTTCTTCAAAGGTAGTTTCAGGATCCCACAGATGTGTACTGTCTGCCTGGAATGATGAAGCATCTCCCCGGGGTCAGACCAACTTAAATCCAGTATTTCTATACAGAGGTTCAGGCTGATCTTTTTCACTGGACGTACATTAAGTCAGCTGCACAGATCAGGGTAGACGCTGGTGCAGACTGTGGAAATTAGGAGTTGGTTTTGCCCTGGAGCAACATTTGATCTTTCCGGTCAAAGAATAGATTTCTGTAAGATCAGGAAAACACCTTAAAAGATACAACTTGATGCTGTTATGCAGATAATAAAGTAACATTTTCACACGTGAAAAGTCTAGAAAGTTGTTCGGTTCGGTTTTGTTGTAACTGTAAGTAATTAGCGCCAAAACTAAATTAAAACTGACTGAGTATATCAGGTGAGAGGCTGAACTGTGTACAACAAAGAGTGGAAGCTCTCTGAGGCCCCGTCCCCCCTTCAAGGAGCAAAATGGTTTAGTCCACCCCTGCACTAGCATTCATCATTAATTGCAGCTAAAGCTGAGAGAGTGATCGCTTATTCTGACGCAGCACCAACGTACACTGATGTGTTTCCCTTAGAAAGTGAAAGCAAGGTTCAAAAAAGGGAAATAAATGAAGGAGAGATAAAGAAAGTAAACTGACTTGGTAAAAAAAATATTTCAAAATGTGCGTAAGAGAGACATGGATCAAGAGAGGAAGGGCGGGGGCCAGTCGAGACTGCTTATGCATGTGGCCCCGAATACAGTGCTATGGTACGCGCTATAACCAGCTTATATAGGCAGCAGCGTGACACATTGTCCCACATACATTATAACATGGCTGCCGGTCACAGATTTATATTTTGTTCAGTGTCTTGATCATACCAATCCTCAGTACAGTACTCATGTGACTTCCACTGACCATGCCTCGATGCCCACCCCAGGGCCCAATCACTGGCCACACACTAAGTTGGCTACACAACTGTTTGGACCCTTGTGACACACAGAAGACATCAGCATTCACTCCTGTTGTCCCATTGTCTTCTAACTGTAAGAAACGTAACCCGACACTCAGTCCCTGGTCACAACACCTGTGCCTTGGCTTAATGCTCAATAGGGCATGGGGGGAGAGATAAAGTGAAAGGGGGGGAGGGGGTGTCTGTAATCCGAACTTAATGATAAAAACACCAGTGGGCTCGGTAATGGGCTTGTAATAGGAGCTGGGAAGTGGCAGGCCGTCTCAATAAGGAAGCGTAGTGGTCATAGAGAGGGTAGTGAAAGCTTAGCCGTCACTCATTTAGAACTTATTCAGCCATCGCCTGATGCCTGATAAGTGGGTTAAAACCCCATGAACCTAGAAACCTGTCCTTATTGACACACAGATGGCGCCTGCTCAGTGATGGCCACTTAGCCGGCCGGTGTTGGGTGCTTTCATCAGCTTTTAAGCAGACTGAGGCTACTGTGCATCCCCACATCCTTCCCACAGGACAAACACTGGTGTGTTATTGTAAATCTGATACAGCAGACGGCACCTGTTTTAAAGCTTGTTCATTAAGAAGCGTCCTTACCCACATACTGCTCCACGTCTTTGACAGAGAAAGTGGGAGCTGGTAGTTTGAGTCCCAGGCCCTCCATCTCTGTGACCGCGATGGGGTAGCTGAAGCCGTGTCTCTCCAGGTACCTGGTCGTCACCTGCTCGCCCTTCATCTGCATCATGATCTCCTCGCCACTGAAACAAGATCATAACGAGCTCAGTAAATTTGATGTATGTACATTTTATTAAGACAGACTCACGACACCTTTAAAACCCCCTAAAACCATAGAGTGAACGTCCATATTTACTTGTTCTGTGCAAAAATGAAGCCAAAATATCCCTGATACGGTCACTCCCATCCTGCGTTGGTGACGTCATTTGGAACCAGAGTCTGCACAGTAGCGATCTCTCGGGAGCACTGATTTGCACACACAGCTGTCAATCATTACGTCAAACCAGTGGTGTAATTTAGTTACTACGGGCCCCAGTGCACACAACTGTGATTGGCCCTAGTGAGCACTACTTAAACTCACACCACCGGCAACTGTTTATAAAAATGCCAAAGGAATCTAATTTAGGAAGCTCTGCTACGTCTTCCTTCTGTTTGTTTCTCTGTTGTCCTTCCTTACTGCCACCTTTATGTATAAAAGGCATGGCTGCTCGCTGCTTACAGATGTGCTCAACATGTCAGCCTTGACAGATTTTGTGCCTGAACTAGCTACTGTATCGTGTCATCTTGTCACATGATCAAATACAGACTTGACACTAGATAACATCAACATATGTTACCCAACAATCTTCACTGCATACCTGTATATGACAAAAATATCAGAGAAAAGCCTCCACAGGCCCCAGTGCAACCACACTGCCCGCACTGTCTATACTTACGTCTCTGTATCGAACCCCCTTGTTACAGCAATAAATAAGTACAAATAAACCTATCACAAAAATAAACACTTGAACAAACATCAGCATGATGAGAACGACCTAAAATGACAGAAACCATATTTGATAAGCAGTAGTGGCATCGCTTCAGAGCCTACACAGATACCTGTAATACATATAGGCCACACCACCTCCTCACAAATGTACACTACACATCAGAACTACAGTGACTATGACGTTACCGTGCGGCGACTACAAGGTCTGTGATCTGTTGCCTTATTTTCACTGCATGGTTCAGCTTGACTCAACACTTTCAGTACAACTTCCTTTTTTTTCCCCCAATGCAAAATCCCCCTCAATGTAGGTGGGGTTCTCAGCTGACTGCCATAGTGACACCACAGGAAACTGTCACGATGTCATCTTTAATGCAACACTTGCTTTATCCTTTCAATGGCAACAATGTCTGTACTTGGTCAATTGTATGATGTAGCTACTGACGGTAGCGTGGCTATTCAAAAATGGTGGGTTTGTGCAAGATGTCCCTTGGTACAGAGAGTGTTTTTTGGTGATACCAATAAAGTATCAGGTACTATCCACAACTTTTGCAAGTGGAGAACCAAAAAAATGAGTCCAGTTGAGTTGAGTGGTGCCATACCATGCAGAGGAAAGGCAGCAATGAGGAAATCTTTATCCGATTAAACATACATGAACAAAGTTTGACCTTCAGTGGTTGGATTGGTACACATGTGCATGTATCTGAATTGATACCCACCTGGCGAAGGCCCTGTTCTGGAGCTCCTTGACAAACACTGGAGTGCCGGCCTGCACCGGCTTCGATCCATCGTCCAGCTCTGTGTAGTCATGCCTGTGGCGGTTGTTGCGCTTTTTCACTGCAGCAAACAAAACATCAGAGGTTCACAGGGTTGTTTCGTTTTAAATGCCGTCGCCCTCTTAAAGCTTGCTCTCCCAACAAAGTGGTAAATTACACACATCAACACCGCTTTTTGTGAGGACATTAATTCACTACTCAACCCCTGAGCTCAGAGATGGAGATGGAGGGGCTGGTCCAATCAAAGTGGAGGGCTTACAACACCATTCAATTAGCCTGCTAATGTCTGCCCTCTGGGCTCACTGAGGTTGACCCATCCCCCCGCCAAAAAACATCAGACTTGACTAACACCACAGAGAGTGTCCCTTTTCCCCTGTGAGCAGTCAGACATATGACGATGGGGGTGGGAGGGAAAACTGAATGGCAAGCGGGTTAGACATGTAAATGTAAGGCAGAGACAGAGAGTGTGTGATGGATGAGATACGTGTTGGGACAGAGACAGGAAGGAAACACAACACTGATGAGAAACAGCAGTACTCACTCAGGGAGGGTCCGTGTACGACATCACAGTTGGGACAGTGGTAAACATCGATATCCACAGCATGATGCTCTTCTACCTGCACACAGCTGGAGACGGACAGGAGATGCAGTCAGAACAAGTTCACACTTCTTCCAGCATTTTTAAACACAACAGGTTTGAGGAAGCGTTATAAGATAGAGGACAATTGCTTTCATAACTTGAATTTAAGTCAATGTTTTAAACCAAACTGACTTAAATTATAGGCTAAATCAATTATCAAAATAGTTGCCAGTTAGTCTAATTATTTCTAGGCTTGTTGAATAAACCCCCCAAAATTGGGATGCTATAAAAGTAGGTAGTTATCAGCTGCAGCATATCTTATTAGTGTCAGATCTTGAACAAAAATCCTGCCCATAAAACATAATTCGGAGTGCTGACTTAATTTGTGAGCAACATTGAGTTCTTTGTCTGACCTGGACAAGTTGGAACAGTTAAGCTCACAATCACTAATGTCAAGCTGTCAAATGCCATGTGTATTACCGGGGTAGATGTCTGGGGTTATTTGTTCGGGATAAACGAAGACTAAGAAAGAACAGTTTGGGTCTGGAAGATGAACTTTGTTCTGATCAATTTATCCAACAACTGCTGCCTCAGTGGTTTCTGAGACAGGAGCAGGAAACTTGAAGCACTTTCAAGCATTTGCATGATAAAAAGGTGAGGGCACTAGCATGGTCCTGGCCCTGATTGACGCCACATTTACATCTTATCATTGAGACCACATTTGCGACCAACCAAGTCAGAAAAACTGTTCACATTAGCCTCTAAGTTAGTTAGAAGCTAGCTGAAGATATCTGGCCACTGTAGCTGGCAGTTCCATCCAAATAAAAGCTAATATAAAAACAAAACATAAAATTCAGCAAAGTAAACTGCTTATGAAGTATCTTATTATGGCTATTTAAATTATGAAGCTACGGGGCTAGCACTGTGTTGAACCATCTTGGAATAAAACATGAACACTAGCTAGTGGAGTGCTGCAGGAATGAGTCCTATAACATGAAAATGAGTTAGCATTTCTGCACTTCTGGTTTCCTCGTCTCAAAGTCATTGATTTTTTTTTGGTAGATGCCTGAAATAAGGTCTGTGGTTAACACAATCGTAAGAGACTTTCATGTTTTGTTCTACAACATGAAAACACATCCGTAAATACCCCAACCTCTATCAGTCAGCCTTAAATGCGGGCTTAATCCTTTTGCGTTGATGCAGAGCCTATGCTGTACCCTACGTCGTAGCCTGACGTGCACCTCTCCAGAAATGTAACTACATGTTGCGGCCACGCAGACCTCCTGTCTATTTTTGTAAGCTGAAACCATTTCCCTCAGTGGAAACAAAGCTTTTATTTACTTTAATTTCACAGATAAGAAACAATAAACTATGAAGACAATAAAGCCTCCACAAAAATAGCATTTTAAGTGTTGTGTGTGATTTATCCTGGCTTCATATGAGCAGAGGAAATCTCCGCTCATCCCTAGGCTAATTTATACAATGTAAAATGCCATAGGCTTGTCCTAATAACATGAGCATGTTGTATTTGTTTAGAAAACATGTTTAGTATAAGACAGATGTTTTGTCAGTGAACCTTGTGAGCTGTAATGGAGCCGAATTTTGTACCGATACCTTTGTTAAATGTTGCTGTTGTCACTGGCTCCATATGAGTAGAGGAAAAGTCCACTAGCCCCTAGGCTAATGTATACAATGTAAAATGCCATAGGCTTGTGCTAATAACGTTAGCATGTTGTATTTGTGGGGAAAATGTGTCCAGATAAAGACAAGTGTTTGTCTGTGAATGCTGCGAGTTATAGTGAAGCCAATTTGTGTACCTGTGTTTGAAATTGTCTCTATTAAGCCATGTTTAATGTGTGTTTAATGTGTGTTTTGAATCAACGTAACTTTACAGAACTTCACAGAAACCCCGCCACCGACTAGTGTTTGGAGGTGTAACTGCAGAGTGACACAGACACACCACCACACAAGTATAAATGTTCACAATGGTGTAGGTTATGGTGTGGGGTCTGCTGCACAAGTTTATATCCCCTCTTTAATGTATCTTGAAAAAGAAGGTTGTTAACAAGTGGCTAACGTAGACAACACAGCATCATCACACTGACCACGGCTTTAAAGCCTTTTGGTGGTGGCAATGTTGAATGCAACCGCGGTGCAGTTTGTTTATAGCATAACATTTAAGGATAGACCGATACATCGGCAGGCCGATATTTGAGTTTTTTACTTGTATCGGCATCGGCCGATACGCGCGTGGGTTTGCGGATTTATTTTTCCCTGGCACTTTTTTTCATTTGAAAGTATGTGGTTAAGTTGAACAAAGCTGTTGAATCCTACTGTGTACAGTAGCTGTTGTTTTATTTATGCTTCAGCTTAAATATTTGTTTATTTTATAAAGACATTACTGGAAGATTTAAGAGCACTGAACTCTTTTTTTTATTTGAATGTACAATATAATAATAATAATAATAATAATAATAATAATAATAATAATAATAATATTCTACCTGTTCTACCTCAACTTTCCATCTTGTTTAAGTATTTTTTACTGTTCAATAAATGTTTCTTATTTTAAACTTGAGACCTGTAATATTTGTTATCATTGTGTCATTTTTTTTAATGTAAATTGAGGGAGCAAAAGCAGTATCGGCCCCAAATATCGGCTCAAGAAAATCGGCAGTCCATAATCGGTCATCGGCTAAGGGTGATGGAAAAAAATCGGTTTCGGCATCAGCCCTAAAAAATCCATATCGGTCTATCCCTAATAACATTAGCTTTTTACTTCTGATGATTGCATCAACAAGAATCCTAAAAGTGGCGTTAATTTGTGAAGATTATCTCACTGAGCAAAACAAGCAAGTATCTTAAACTTATATTTGACACACAGCTCATTTTCTGCAATAGTCCTGGGTTTTTCTGTCAAGGAAATGGGGGTGACATGCTGGCCTACAAGGAAATGTCATCCCTGCAGCACTCTCTTGGAATAACAGCAACTTTTCCTGTTCTTCCCCTTCTGCCATCATTACGTAAATGCTAAATAAGGTCAAAACCTTGGCAGAGCATCAACTGCTTCTGTAGATAGTGAGGTTTGTTGTTGGATCTGCAAAAGCGTCATTCATACCGCTACCCCCGACTGTTCTGCAGCGGCCAAACCGCAGGCACCAGCACACATGCATTCCTCTGTTACATACCAGAGCCCCATTCCAGAGCAGCATGAACAGCAACCGCGTTGCCATTCAGCGTGAACGGACACCAGTGGCTATTTAGAGTTACAAAAACTGCAAGCTGCATGTTTGTGTGACTCAAGCATGTGCACGGGTCATTTTTATAGTTAAGTGGTGTGACGGAGAGGTCACACACAAATCTGTGCTTAACAGGCTCCCATTGTCTTTTTAAAGTGCTTTTTGAGATTTGAAGAAAACGTCTGTTTCTAATGAGATCATAGTGTGTGTCCTCACTTGACCTGCAAATAACTGTTTCTAATATTCTTACAGCAATCTGTGGAAGTTTCTTTGCTTTGGTTTGTCCATCTCCATGCACAAATATGACCAAAACAAAAACTTAGATGTTTGGATAGGCAACATGTGGTTTGGAAAAAAGTATTTGAAGCCAGTTAACAGATAGGTCACTTACTACTGGCTTGATTAGACCCAAAAAAAAACAACATTAGTTATAACTGTACTAATCTGACCTCTCACATAGCTGGAGCAAATTTAATTATTTCACTTCCCCTGCTTTCGGCTAATTAAGAAGCATGTCGCTAAGCACCATTTGCACTGTGATGGCTGACCCTATGGAAAGTAAACACCATGCAACCACAACAAAACTGCATGCAAACTGACTTTAAACGTCAAATATCCCATCTTCAAACCATTATCAGGACAGTGAAGCTTAGTTTTGCCCTCTAGTATAGCGGCACAGGGTGTAACTGAAGGATTTATGGCTGACAAATCCTCTGTTTTGAAAAGGTGAAGGACTGCAGGAGTTAGGGAGCTGACCGCAGCCTGCTATCAGCTTTGATCTACAAGAAATTGCAGGAAACTGTAAAGGAAATAAAGCCCAGGGCCATTAACTCATCAGGAAGTGGTGAGCTTGTGTGAATGCTGGCCCCCATCACCCCGGTGCACTAACAGGATATCAACAGTAGCTGCCTCTCCCCAGTTTGCTTCATGCAGCCTGTTATTATTGGCTGTGTTTGCAATGCAGACAATCATATATCACTGTCAAGATTTTTATCAGGACATGCCTTTAGCTCTAACAATCACCCATAGTAACTTAATAAACAAATATATTTATAGTTACCGATGGAATATTTGATTTGCAGTTAAGTAGACTTGTTTATGGTAGAGTTATCTTTTATACAAAGTACTTTTTGCCTCCAACAGCTACAGATAGAACTATAAAAATAGGAAATGGCAAAAAAAGAAGTGCTCCTGCTCCTGCACGTGAGCAAGCGGATGACCAACAATAACACTGTATTAAACCGAGCTCATGTATCAGGAATCTTGGTGCACATTTGGCTGTTCGCTGGGGGAAAGCATGAGTCACAGCTCTCCGCCGCTGGGTCGGTGGAGCAGTGTGAGAGCAGTGCAAGCTCAGCTGAGGTGACCTTGTTGTCCTCATCTGACTTGGTACTTTCCTCCTTTATGTAATGCCACAGCGGGAAATCAGGGCACTGTGCCACATACGCCGGCCTGACTCAGCTGATGTGTCACCTGTAACGATTAATACACCACACGGCACTGAGGCTGGTGAAACTGTGTGGAGATAGAGAATGTAAAAAATAAGAGTGGGTGGTAGGGGGGGATCAGCTGAAAGGGAAAGAGGGCCAAGTATTTCCTGCCTTGCACAGGCTTGGTGATGTATTGCATCACTGCAAAGTGTGCAAACAGTTCTTGCACGAACTACATTTGGTCGGAAAGCAATCAGAGCGAGGATAAGATTGGAGACAACTGAGCTGACGTCACCATAATACTTAATAAGCAGTGTTATCATATGTTGCGGGACTACAACAGAGCATATTGTGATAGAGAGATGACACAGAGTACAG